AAGCAGACAGATGTGGCAGAATCACCACCAGCTTTTTGAAGGCATGGTGGTGGAACAAGCTCCAGCACTGAACCCTGTCCTGCATCCTTCCCAGCTGCCAGAAGAGTTACCCAGATTTTTGAAGGCATGGTGGTGGAACAAGCTCCAGCACTGAACCCTGTCCTGCATCCTTCCCAGCTGCCAGAAGAGTTACCCAGTGCGCTGTGAAGGAAATGTAATGTCCCTGACCATGCGTGCTCGACCACGTGTCAGCAGTAATATGGACCTTGCTGCTAACTACCTTGTCCAACAAGGCCAAAACATTGCCTTCCACATAATGGTGCAGAGCTGGAATGGCCTTACATAAAAAGAAATTTCCTTTCAGGGCCTGCCACTATGGTACAGCACATTCCGCAAATTCACGGAAGGGGGCAAATTCTACCAGATAGAAAGGCAGCAGTTGTAACAATACATTTAGACACGGAGCATGTCAATGGGTTGGACAGTATTTTATAGACATATTTTTTTTTTTTTTACAGTTCACCAACTGAGGTAGTGAAATTTGCCTGGTGAAATCAACAGGTGGTGTACTTCTAGCAGATTGGGTGCAAGGACCTGTGGCATCCATTGCTATACCATCATCCCTCTCAGTGGAGGCTGTTGAGATGACTTGAGTTATAGTAGGGGTAGAGATCCCAGATAAGGAGCAAGGAGAAGTCTGTGCTTTTTTATGATGTGGGCCTTATTATTACAGGTATTTATATAGCGCCGTCAATTTACGCAGCACTTTACATATATATTGTACATTCACATCAGTCCCTAACCCTCAAGGGGTATACAATCTACAGTCCCTAACTCACTCATACATACATACACATACTAGGGCAATTTAGACAAGATCCAATTAACCTACCAGCATGTCTTTGGAGTGCAGAAGGAAACTGGAGTACCCGAAGTAAATCCACGCAGGCACAGGGAGAGAACATGCAAAATCCAGGCAGGAGGTGCCGTGGCTGGGATTCGAACCAATGACCCTAGTACTACCAGGCGGAAGTGCTAAACATTTAGCCACTGTGCTGCCCAGCTTTTCAGATACTGTTGACAATGGGCTGTATGGCAGGTCATCATATGTCTTGTCAAGTATGTGGTGCCCAAGCCGCTGGTGTTTTGGCAACGCTTGATCCCCTTCAGACAGAGACTGCAAACCGCAATGCTGTGGTCTGCTGCACTTGCTTTGAAAAAAGCCCAAACCAATGGAAGTAAACCGGGAGTCAGCAGCAGCAGCCTGCACCTGTGGAGCGCTGTCGTGTGATGCAATAGGGTGGCTGCCCTTAGGCCTGCCCCTGGAGGATATCCTGCCTCGTTAGCATTGTGCCTCCTCCTCCTTTTTCTCCTCTGTTCTCTCAGGCACCCAAATACAATCGGTGACCTAATGACCCCTCCCTCCTCGTCACTAGAGCCAACTTGGTAGTTTTGCTGCGGCTGGGGGAACATGATTTCCAATTTGTCAGTCATTGGCACCCCCTCTCTCTAAGCTCAGTCACTCCCTTCCTCAACCTAGGAACCAACATATGAACATTCAAATTGCTGCTCATCCTCCAGCAGCATGTAACTGAAACTATGATCGAACAATTCAGGTACTGTTGCTACAGAAGGAGTAGCTGTGGATAAGGAGCCTGTGGAATAGGTCACTTTGACAGCTGCGGTGGAAGGCAAACTAGTATGAGCCTGGGTGACAGAGGATGAGGATGGCTTAGTTATCCTCTCTACCACTTCTTCTGCATGTTGTGGCTCAATAACACGGCCAGCACCGGAAAAAAAGGACAAGCATGCCCTGCCTGCAGAGCATACACCATGTCCACGACCATCACTTTTCCCTGTGGACACAGAGGCTGCTTTCCCTCTTTTAGCTGCTTGTAAGCGTCTGCCTATCCTTGTTGGCCTTTTGGACACGATGGGAATTTTTTTTAGCTTTTTATTTTAGAGTGTGGGATGGGAATTTGGGTGCACCAGACACCGTTTTATTTAATTTTTTTTATAAAGAAAATAAGGGGTACAGCAATTATGCACATTTTTTTTAATGCTGAAAAAAAAAATACAATAAAATAAAAAGCCAAAAAAAATAAAGGGAACTACTGCTGATGCATAAGGAGGAACACCTGCGATGCAGAAGGGGGAACAGCAATTATGCCCCAAATATTTTTGCTGCTGCTGAAAGCCAAAAAGAAAAAAGGAAACCACTGCTGACGCAGGACGAACACCTGTGACACAGAAGGGGGAAAAATATTTAACAAAAAATAGAAAAAGTTAATGGGTACAACGGTGATGCAGAAGTGCTCTCAAAAAACACTGGCACTTCACTGGCACCACTACACTGCTCTTCACAACATCCCACTACACTGTCACTTTTCTGAACACACAAACATCAGATATTCGAATCGAACTTATGTTCAGCTCGAACATCCAGGCCAAACCTACTGTACATATACACAACTAAATGGTATATATTTATAACAGTAGCATGGTGTCCAGTAATTTACCAATAGTAAAAAAAGTATTTTTTATATATTATTATTATACAGTATTTGTATAGCGCCAAAGGGTATGCTCAGCGCTGTACAATATATATACACACACACACATATATATATACACATACATACACACACAGTATATATATATATATATATATATATATATATATATATACATACATACACACACATACACATCATAAATATATACGCTGCTCAAAAAATTTAAAACACTTTTTTATTCAGAGTATAGCATCAAGTCAGTTAAACTCCTGGGATATACTGATCTGGTCAGTTAAGTAGCAGAGGGGGTTGTTAATTAGTTCAGCTGTTTTGATATTAATAAAATTAACAACAGGTGCACTAGATTGGCAACAGTGAGACGACCCCAAAACAGGAATGGTTTACACAGGTGAAGGCCTCTGACATTTTTTTTCACGCTCATCTTTTCTGACTGTTTTTCACTAGTTTTGCATTTGGCTAGGTTCAGTGTCATTACTGGTAGCGCGAGGCAATACCTGGACCCTACAAAGGTTGCACAGGCAGTCCATCTCCTCCAGAATGGCCCATCAATACATGCCATTGCCAAAAGGTTTTCTGTGTCTCCCAGCACAGTCTCAAGAGCATGGAGAGCATGGAGGAGATTCCAGGAGACAGGCAGTTACTCTAGGAGAGTTGGACAGGGCCATAGAAATCCCCTTTCTTCTCTATTCTGATGCTCGATTTGAACTTCGGCAAGTCGTCTTCACCATGTCTAGATGCCTAAATGCATTCAGTTGCTTCCATGTGATTGGTTGATTAGCAATTTGTGTTACCAAGCAATTGAACAGGTGTACATAATAAAGTGGCCGGTGTATATATATATATATATATATATATTGCCAAAAGTATTGGGGACCTGCCTTTACACAAGTATGAAATTTAATAGCGTCCCAATCTTAGCCTGTAGGGTTCAATATGGAGTATGCCCACCCTTTGCAGGTATAACAGCTTCAACTCTTCTGGGAAGGCTGTTCACAAGGTTTAGGAGTGTGTTTATGGGATGTTTGACCATTTTTCCAGAAGCGCCTTTGTGGGGTCAGGCACTGATGTCGCATGAGAAGGCCTGGCTCACAGTCTCCGCTCTAATTCATCCCAAAGGTGTTCTATCGAGTTTAGGTCAAGACTCTGTGCAGGCCAGTCACTTCCTTCACCCCAAGCTTGTTCATCCATGTCTTTATGGACCTTGCTTTGTGCACTGGTGCGCAGTCATGTTGGAACAGGAAGGGACCATCCTCAAACTGTTCCCACAAAGTTGGAAGCATGAAATAGTACAAAATGTCTTGGTATGCTGACAACTTAAGAGTTCCCTTCACTGGAACTATGGAGCCAAGCACAACCACTGAAAAACAACTCCAGACCATGATCCCCCCTCCACCAAACTTTACACTTGGCACAATGCAGTCAGGCAAGTACTGTTCCACTGACAACCACTAAACCCAGACACGTCCACCGGATTGCCAAAGAAGCGTGATTCATCACTCCAGAGAACACGTCTCCACTGCTCTAGAGTCCAGTGGCGGCATGTTTTACACCACTGCATCTGACACTTTGCATTGTGCTTGATGATGTAAGGCTTGGATGCAGCTGCTCGACCATGGAAACCCATTCCATGAAACTCTCTATGCACTGTTGTTGTGCTAATCTGAAGGTCACACAAAGTTTGGAGGTCTTTAGCTATTGACTGTGTAGACAGTCAGTGACTTCTGTGCACTGTGCACTTCAGCATGCACTGACCTTGCTCTGTCATTTTACCTGGCCTACTCACTCATCCATGTTTTTATGGACCTTGCTTTGTGCACAGTCATGTTGGAACAGAAAGGGGCCATCCCCAAACTGTTCCACAAAGTTGGGAGCATGAAATTGTCCAAAATGTCTTGGTATGCTGACGCCTTAAGAGTTCACTTATAGAAAGGCTGTCCACAAGGTTTAGGAGTGTGTCTGTGGGAATGTTTGACTATTCTTCCAGAAGAGCATTTGTGAGGTCAGGCACTGATGTCAGACAAGAAGGCCTGGCTCGCAGTCTCCGCTCTAATTCATCCCAAAGGTGTTCTATCGGGTTGAGATCAGGCCAGTCAAGTTTCTCCACCCCAAACTCACTCATCCATGTCTTTATGGACCTTGCTTTGTGCACTTGTGCGCAGTCATTCCCAAACTCTTCCCACAAAGTTGGGAGCATGAAATTGTCCAAAATGTCTTGGTATGCTGATGCCTTAAGAGTTCCCTTCACTGGAACTAAGGGGCCAAGCCCAACCCCTGAGGAACAACCCCACACCATAATCTCCCTCCAACAAACATTTCACAATGCAGTCAGGCAAGTATCGTTCTCCTAGCAACCGCCACATCACTAGCAAGAACACGTCTCCACTGCTCTAGAGTCCAGTGGAGAACTGAACTCCATGTTGTTGTACTAATCTGAAGGCCACACAAAGTTTGGAGGTCTTTAGCTGTAGATAGTTGGCGACTTCTGCGCACTGTGCGCTTCAGCATGTACTGACCCCTACTGACACTGTCTATTTTTAAGGTAGGCTACGTTTGTATTTTTACAGTGACATTTGTTTTATTATATTTTTCTACATTTTCCTTGCTAATTAGCTAGGCCTTAAAAAATTTTTAAATGGCGCTGAACCACCGGTGATCTTTGATCTCCTTCATGTTGTTCAGGTATATCTCCACCTCTCAAAGGTTTCCTACCCCTGCCTTAAGGCTTAAGGTGTGTCGTTAAGCGCTGGGTGAGTAAGCTTTGTCATCTTCAGCTATGCAGCAAAATAAAAAAAAACAGTTCAGTGGCTTCTCTGAGGGTAGCGCTACATATTTTTTTTTTTTGTTTACACTGAATCTACAAAAATGTCTCTGTTATGATGAAAACTGATCTCTGCAAAGTTATTTAAATGAATTACAATATGGCAGCACATAACAAAATGATCAATGGTGAAACCAATTATTTTCCAAAGTCAGAAAATTAGTTAATTGAAGATCACCTGTGTGTGCAGCAAAGGGGTTTTAAGTGATTGTGTAACTACAGGTATAACTGGAAGATCCAACTTCAGGTGGGTCAGTACCATAGCATGATCTATAACAGCCTTTCTCAATCTTTTCAATACAGAGAAACCCTTGAAATAACTTTCTGGTCTAAGGAAACCCCTGCTAAAAATGACTATACAGTATATACAGTACTCATAATACATTAGTATGATGGTCAGTGGGAAGAACGCTCATTACACTTGTGGTCATTGGGAAGAATTACCCCCTTACAGATAGCTAAAAAGATCAATGGTGTTAGTGGGAACTTATCTGAGAGGCAAAATTTGCTTATTGACCAAGAAACCCTAGCCACCTCTTTAGGAACCCTAGGGTTCTATGGAACCCTGGTTTAGAACCCCTGATCTATAATATGAAGACGCTCCAAACAAGGTTATGAAACCACAAGTCAGGGAATGGATATAAGGAAATTTCCAAGCAACTGAATATCCCTTACAGTACAATTAAAATTGATCATTACAAAAAGTATACGGCACAGCTGTAATAAATTTACATAGAATAAATTCTATTCCACCATTAAACAATGTTCAAGCAAAAATGCCTCTTTTTTCCTTGCACATGATTGGATATTATTTGAAGTGAGATTTCACTACATTGGCTAAGCTCTGTGGTAAATTCCCATGCAAAGTGCAATTTCCATTGCAAAATGAACAGTGGGTTTGCTTTTAGATCTCATCCCAATGGAGAATGACTGCCCAGCTTGAGCAGTTTAGAGAGATTAGAGAGACCTATCCAAGATCCATGTTCCACGTACTGCTCAGGTTTTATGCGGGTTCTATGTGGAGATTGGATGACATGGTGATTTGATGCACTGAGGTCACAATCAGTGAACACCTTGATTTCACTGAAAAAATACGTGTTCTATGCATTGCAGCAGTGACAACCGAGCCACCCCTTATGGTTAGTGTACTGTGGGGCAAGCCACTCATATACAACCTGAGCAGGATCTAGAAGATTGTGGCTATAACTATAGTAGTACTGACAAAGTGATTTTCAGCTTCTCTAGCAGTCCATCAGATATGAGATATACATACTTACATTGTGCCAAGCTGGACCAATGTAAGTATGTCGTAAAGTCCATACCTGGAGTTCAACTTTTGGCACACAGTATCTGAGCTTTATTGTCACAACCATAAGTGTTATGTTTGGAGATTGGTCAACAAAGCCTAAAGCAACAGGAATACCATCCCTACTGTGAAACATGGTGGTGAATCACTGATGCTTTGGAGGTGTGTGCTCTAAAGGCATGGGGAATCCTATGAAAACTGAGGGCAAGATAAATGCAACATGTTATCAGAAAAAACTGGCAGACAAAGTTGACTCTTCAGTGGTTACAGCAGAAAAAGGTGAAGGTTCTGGAGTGGCCATCACAGTCTCCTGACCTGTTCTTTCACATATTGAACCAGGAATATATTGCTCTGCAGCTGGTCCCACACTAGTAATTGAGTTTAGGCAGCATTTTAGGCACAAAATGAGTTACTTCCACCAGTGATGAAATAAGTTTGGTGATAGTGTCGCTAGTGACAGAATAGCTTTGTGACATTGTACCGAAGGTACAAGGTTGAGTTGCACGAATTGCAACATCACAATTAACTACAGATGTAGAAGGGTACCTCCTGACTACAGCCTGTTTAAAAGCTCCCATGCTGTAAAGCAGACAATCGGTTGCTTTCTTGAGATCAGTATCTACCAGTTGGCTATGATTGACTGGTGCTTTATGAGGATCTGCAGAGGCCACATCAGCTTTTCACCTGGCCTTGTAATATCTCCCATGGTGGGAACTATTACTGAGCTTAGAGAAGTTGCTTTTCTTGAGCTCCAGCCACATAATTCAGAAGCCTGCAGATTCCATACATTTTCAGACCCTCAGCATATTGAAATGATTTATGCTGAAACGTGGTTTCGACATCTCAAGCTGAGAGGCGCCTTTATATACATACAGAATTTGACACATTGCTATAGACTTAGGAGTCAAGCTACAGTCTAGTCTGTGCTTGCTGCATGCTGGTGGACAGAAGTACCTAGGATTCTTGTTAAGCAACTAAGGGCCAGATTCTGTACTGTCACTCCAACTGACAGGATAGGAAATACAGCCCTTACAATTACCGGTTGCCTATGGCAAGGGGGTGTCATATTTTGCACCAAATGCAATGCCAAAGTTGGGCTTAGCTACCACATATATGAATGTATTCACACAAAAGAATGTATATAGTTTATATTTTTTTTATGTATTCCCCTTTGTGATATATCGGTTTAAATGACATTTTAAAAACATTTCATTTTTTTGCTCTAGTAATATTAATTTTTCCTATTTAGAATCTCCAGCTAGAAGCTGGAACTATAGGCTCATCTTCATGTGTTTATTAGGCAAATTTTAATTGCTTTTCTAGAAAAAAAAATCTAATTACACAGTTGAATGAGTCAGGGGAGTGACTCATGCCCTTCTGCCTGCCCTGTTCAGACAAAAGTAATTTAAATCAGGAGCGTGATGGTTTAAAATTAAACAATTTTGGCCATGTTCTCTCTCTAGAAAACACATAATTTTGTGCAAAAGTTAGTTAAATGTTTATTTGTAAAATAAAGATCTTATTATAACAGTAAATAATATACTGTTTCAAGAAAAAGTATGTAGACCCCTTGGAATTAACTGTTTTTCTGCACTTCTTTGCCATGAAATGCAATTTGGTCCTCATCTAGGTCACAGCAATAGACAAACACAATGGAGTTGATTTACTAGAACTGGAGAGTGCAAAATCTGGTGCAGCTCTGCATAGAAACCAATCCACTTCCAGGTTTTATTGTCAAAGCGTAACTGAACAAACTGAAGTTAGAAGCTGAATGGCTATCATGCACAGGTGAACCAGATTCTGAGTGCTCCAATTTTAGTAAATCTCCCCCAGTGTGCTTAACCACTTCCATACAGGGCACTTTTACCCACTTCCTGCCCAAGCCATTTTTCAGGTTTCAGCGCTCTCACATTTTGAATGACAATTGCGCGGTCATACAACACTTTACCCAAACTAAAATTTCATCATTTTCTTCACACAACTAGAGCTTTCTTTTGGTGGTACTTAATCAACACTGAGGTTTTTATTGGTTGCTAAATTAACAAAAATAGACCAAAAATATTGAAAAAAAACCCAAATGTTTCTTTGTTTCTGTTATAAAAGTTTGCAAATAAATAAATGTTCTTCATAAATTTAGGCCAAGATGTATTCTGCTACATTTCTTTGATGAAAATAACCCAAATTAGGACGTATTATTTAGTCTGTAGGAAAGTTATAGAGTTCACAAACTATGGTATATATCTGAATCAATCCTGAAGTACTGATGGCCAATCTAATTTCTTGAGGTTCAAGAATGTCAGAACAGTACAGATATCCCCAAAATGACCACGTTTTGCAAAGTAGACAGTACGACGTATTTCCTAACAGGCATGGCGAGTTTTTTGAAGTTGTAATTTTGTCATAATTTTTTGGAAAATGAAAAAAATTCAAAAAATTATTTTCACTATTTTTTTTTTTATATACTGTCACTAGTGCAGTTCAGCGTCATCATATAACTGGCATGGCGGTGATCAGGGACACTGACTGGTGACAGTACAAAAAAAAAAAAAAGATAATTTTTTTTTTTTTCATTAATTTTAATTTTTTATTTAATTTTTTTCTCTTTAAGATTTTTTTTCATATTTCACTATGACCAAAGTAGTATAATGTTACCACTACTTTAGGGAAGTGATCAGTATTTTTTTTTTTTACACAATTTGCTCATAGCAAAGAGTCACTTTGCTATAAGCAAGCACTTACCTGAATGACATCGATTTTATTTTATTTTTTTATTTATTTCAGGTACTTATATAGCGCCTTCAATTTACGCAGCACTTTACATATATATATATTGTACATTCACATCAGTCCCTAACTCTCAAGGGGTGTACAATCTAAGGTCCCTAACTTACATTCATACATACATTAGGGCCAGTTTAGACAGGATCCAATTAACCTACCAGCATGTCTTTGGAGTGTGGGAGGAAACCGGAGTACCCGGAAGAAACCCATGCAGGCACAGGGAGAACATGCAAACTCCAGGCAGGTGGTGCCGTGGCTGGGATTCGAACCAACAAATCTAGTACTGCCAGGCGGAAGTGCTAACCATTTAGCCACCGTGCTGCCCATTTTATCATGCAAAACCTCAATGCACAGTAACACAGAGCATTAGTCTGGTGCAGGACGTCTGCTTTGAAAACCACTTTCCAGCTGCCTGGGCCCCCTGATGGTCTGGGCCCCATACAGGAGGACTGGTGGTACCCCCTTATCCACGGGGAGGGGGGCAGGGTTGGGGAGGCAGAGAAGACACTGTGGGAGGGGTGACACAGGAGACTCTGTGGTAGGGGGGCTTAGGAGACACTTTGGGAGGGGGGACACAGGAAACTACAGTTGGGATGGATT